CAAGTCCCACGTAAGAGAGGACAAATTTTATGGTAACTCTTGATGTGAAGCTGCACAGATTTTTTCCAAGTCTAAAAAATACAACGTCCTGCTGACATTGCACATCTTTACAGACTTCATCAGCCCAAGGGATCTGGAAGCTTGGCTAAGTTCTGAACTGTGGCAAAATGAACTGTTCATCATACCTGAGTCTTCCATTAGAGAGGGGTCTACCTTTGGCGACAGGAAAGCTATGAAGAGGTTTAGGTGGTAGATTCCCAAGGCATATGTCACAATGTACCAACCCTGCACAGGGAGGGGAGAACAGCCACAGTTAAAATCTGCATGAAAGACATTTGCTGATACTTCTTTTTTAACAAGATTAAACAACCTGGGTTCTTTGCTTCCTTGAGAAGCTTTTCTACCTCCTCACCTTAACTGAAAGGTTTCTGGACTAGAATATTAACAACACAAAAATAAAAATATTAACAATTCTGACAATATTAACAATATTACATAAAAATATTAACAATTCTCACCTATCAAAACAAGTCTTAGAACACAAGAGGAGTGCAAATCCCTCATGTACACAAGAGCTGCTCTCTCTTCAGGTTATCCAATTTACCTTCTACCATGAGCTATAAGACACCACACGTGGTTCTAAAGTAACACCACACTTCAAAAATACTCTTAACAGGAAACACAGGCCAGGAGTGATAAGTAAAAACCTCTTGGCAGTAAGTGCAGTGCTCACCTGCAGTAAATAAACTCTAATCATGTAGATAAAGCTCAGCCCCAGCGTTACAATCCATCGCACGGCGGTGTAGGGGGTGGATTTGTCTAACCAGGACTGGTAGATCTGGGAGGAGACAAAGGGACATGTGAAATACAGGAGGCACAATGAGCACAGTTCATTACAGGGCAGCACTGGCACAGAGAAGCCTTTGGGAAGACTATTTTGGGAAGGGCAGTAACGTGAAATATCTGTATTCTTCATGAATAAACTGAATCACACATAACTGTACTTTGAAAAGTTCCGTGTTTTTATGAAACCCCTAATGCTTGGGGCATTGTACAGCAATTTAATATTTCTGTATCTCATGCAAGTTACTTTCCTTAAGACGAATTTGACCTGAAATCTGAAGTCACTCCTTGTTTTTGACAACATATATTTTCACTGTGCAATGTCACACATACACCCCTTAAACATTCCAGTAAGCTACGTGTAATAATATTTATCAGTTTTTAAAAGCTTCAGAAGAAATCTGAAGATTTTAGCATTTTAACAACTCATCCAAAAAAGTAATGAGCTTAAGGAGCCACAGTGAGATCTACTCCTAAAGCAGTCAGAAAAATCCTTCCCCAAACCAACCTGTCCAAGTCTTGAGAAAAACCTATAGACCACGGAGGGTTTTCCATGCACAGACTCCCCAATGCTGTCCCCTTCTGACATGGTGGCTGTGGAAACAAAACATGGGACACAGGGAACACTGAGACCCAAAATCTGAGCTCAGAAAGCTTTAAAGCACATTCTCTGAACCAGCATTTACACACAATGTTCTTTTGGCTTGCACTGTTCGAAACAAGTATTTTGAACGAAGTATTCTCAAAGAGGGGACACTTATGCAAAAATGAATTAAATTTTTCCTAAAGTAATTGTCCAAGACAGCAAAGAACAGGGTGTTTTACAAAGGCAAGACAGGATGCAGTCCATTCTGGGAGGGAAATAAAGAAACCCATAGAGAAATGCAGGAAGGAGGCTGGTTGGACATCCCCTTGCTAAGGCAGAGGCTGAGTTCCAACATCTAAATGGTGAGACATGACCTGCAGCACCTCCCTCCTGCCCCCTCAGTCTCTAAAAGCAAAGAACAAAATCAAACTAAATATACATTTTTTTTTTTTTAAAGCTGCTTTGGATTTTAAGTGCTCAGTAACCAGACAGTGAACAAGGAAGTTCAGGACTGCACATCAGTGCTTTCAGACTCTGCCAGAGCACCAAACCCAGAACCTTGCTCACACCAGAAAGAAGGCAACAACTTTCTCTGTCTCTTGAGCACGAAGAGCTCAAGAGTAGTAGCAGGAAAGTTTTCTGCAGGAGTAAAACTGCAGTCAAAGGGCCCAAACTCAAGTAAAAACATTAACCAAGGGGGTTATTTTTCAGTCCACGCTTCTGCCACCGATTTAAGAGCTTTATTTTCCTTATCAGTGAAGCCTAACTGGGTTGTACAGCTCCCTTCGAGGTACAGGCCAAATAAACTCGATTCTAAACAGAAACGTTTTGCCACATCACCGAAAGCAATCCCTGACACTACTTCCTGGAATCCTCATTTGTGGGTGGGACTATGTAACCCTGGGATACTGGGAGCACTTTCAGCCCTGCTCAAGAGCCTCAGAGGATAATAAAGCTGTGTGGAACATAAATAAATAAAAAAACCAGTACATCATCTTAGATGCTGCAATACGAATGACTGCTGCAGAAAATTCGAGACCAAGGACAATCTGGGGAGGCACAAAAACTTAAAGTTGTGTATTTTTCCTGTAGACATCCAAAAACTACATCCTATGGAATCATTAGGAAGTAGAAAAAAAGGAGTCCTGCTACACTTCAAAAGCTAAGGGGTTTCATCAGGAGGCTCCAGGAGCTGAGTCCATTTTAATTCAAGCTAGAGCTGAAAAGAAAAAAAGAATCAAATAGAAACTCATACAATATACAGATTTTTCCACTACAGGCAAAAGGAAGTGATTATTCCTCTCCCCACTCTCTGCAGGGCAGAAGTTACTCAGCCTTCTCAGCTGAGCATCATTTTGGGCTTTATTTTGGTTTTCTTTTTTTTTTTAGAAGTCCTGAAGTATCAAGGACTGTAACCAAAAGATATTCAGCCTATTGACCAGAGACCAATGAAAACTCTCACATTTTCAAAATTAATTGTCCAGATACATCCAAATATAGCAAATATGGGCTACAGGCAGACCTAAGGTGACAATGTTGTAAATGCCACCCTGTGCAGAGCAAGTGGAAGATCAAGATGTGAGGCTCCTGAAGGCTTTCTGCTGCAGCAGGGATTTCGCTGGGTGAAAAAAATTATATGTGATTATGTATGACTGTTTCTCAAATACACCGTTCTTCCAGAGCAGCCCAAGAAACACAACCAGCTGACACTGTTCTACTGCAGAGGGGCTTTCTACAGTTAAGAACACTGGGGGTTTATTGGTTTAAGGGAATAATTAATATAACCAGTTGCAATCCCCCTTTTGTAATCATGGAATGGTTTGGGTGGGAAGGGACCTTAAAGACCATCTCATGCCATTCCACCCCCTGCCATGGGCAGGGACACCTTCCACCAGCCCAGGTTGCTCCAAGCCCCATCCAGCCTGGCCTTGGACACTTCCAGGGCTGGGGCAGCCACAGCTTCTCTGGGCAACCTGTGCCAGGGCCTCCCACCCTGGCAGGGTGGGAAGGATTCCTTCCCAGTATCCCATCTCAGGGAAGGATTCCTTCCCAGTATCCCATCTCTCCCTGCCCTCTGGCAGTTTGAAGCCGTTCCCCCTCATCCTGTCCCTCCAGGCCCTTGTCCAAAGCCTCTCTCCATCTTTCTTACAGATGTAACATAAATTCACTGTTCAGCACGAGGAGCTGTGACAACCCTTCAGCACAGCTAACAATCAGAAAGTCACACATTAATACAACAAACGAGTGAATAGGTCACTGCCAGCAAAACTGAGGCTGCTGCTAAAACTAAACCATGCTGAAAACACCAGGCAGGTGAAAGCAGGACCTTAATAGATGACCTTATCACCACAATTGTTATGGTAATGTCGCTACAAACATGATCGCTGAGTGCTCAAAACCAGAACCTGGGGCAGTTAAAACATTCACTGTCTGCGGTGACACACAGACGTGCCGAATTTCCAGAGAGCTCTGATTATGAGACAGGTTTTTCTTGAAGTTAAAATACAAACGGAGGACACCGGCAGCAAACCCACACTCCTGCTCGCACAGCCTTCCTTATCTCGTAGAGGAAACACCTTCGAAGAGCAACACACTCGAGTGATTTACTGTAACAGGGTGAATGGACAGCCACGGGGCACGACCACGCTGGTGGCACAGGTTGGGTTTTTCACGCTAAAAAAAGACACTGTTTCATTTTATCCGTTCGGCAGCAGCCGAGCAGCACCTGCGGCTCTCGGGGACTTCCCCGGCCTGGGCTGGGCTCAGCCCGGTCCAACGAGCGGGGAGCGGCTGGAGCGGGGCCGGCACAGCGGGGACACGGCCCGGGAGGCCCCGGGAGGCCCCGAGCCCGCGCAGCCCCCGCACCCCGGAGGGGCCGCTCGCCCCGGGCTCCGCCCCCCCGCCCAGGGGTGTCCCGGCCCGCAGTGCCCGCCCGCGGCCCCGCTCAGCCCCGGGCGGCCTCAGTACTCACAGGCGGCCGAGCCGGTCCTTCCTCCGCTCCCGCCCCTCCACACACCCGATATGGCGGCACCGTCGGGACGCGCTTCCGCTTCCGGGGCTGGGGCGGGACGAGCCCGAGTGCGGCCCCGCGGTTGGCCCCGGGGGCAGCGAGGCGGTCCCGGCGGGGAGGCGGGAGGGCGGTGCGGGCCGTGAGGGCGGGCGGGAGCGGGCGGGGGACAGGCGGGGCGGCACCGGTGGGGACCGAGCGCCGACCGGGCCCGCCCCGCTGCCCTGAGGGGGCGCCCGGCCCCGCCCCCAGCGCCGGCGCAGCCAATGGGGAGCGGCCACTGAGGGCGGGCGCGGGCACGCGGCCAATGGCGGGACGGCGGCGGGCGGGGGGGCGGGGCAGAGGGCGGGGTGGGTCCGGGCCGAGCCCGAACGGAGCCGATCCGAACCGAGCCCAGCCGAATTAAGCCGAACTGCCGAACTGAGCCGAATGGGGCCGAGCTGAACCGAGCCCAGCCGAGCTCAGCCGAACGGAGCCCGACCCGAGCGGAACCCGAACGGAGCCGAACAGAGCCGAGCCCGACCCGAGCGGGGCCGAGCAGAGCCGCCTCACGAAATGAGGCGAAAAGGTGCTTAAGGGATTTTAAAGTTTTAAGGATTTCAGTGTGTTTTTCCATGAACACGTGAACGCTTAGGAATGAAAATCAGTAGGAGAAGATGAGAAATAGTTGCTAGAGACAGAGGTGACACAAGAAGTCCCCACACGCGCTGGGGTGGGTTTGTCCCGTTGCCACAGAAACACTGACAAACAAACGGGGGGGGGCCCTCGAATTTATTACAGTTTATCCTCATTTATTCCCCTCTCACTGCTCACGGGCTGGTCTGTGCAGTTCTGTACCTCCGCTGGGCACCACTGGGCGTCTCCCCAGCACCTCTTTTGGGGCGGAATCCGTAAATTCTTCAGGCTCAGAGGCTGCTCTGGCACTGCAGCACTTGGGACTAAAGTTTACACTCAATATGTGCTCAAAAGTGACAACAAAAAGTCCTGACACTCCTGAATGTTGATCTAATATTTGTGTTATGCAAATATAGGTATATATTTATTTATTTAGTACATATGTTAATGTTACACTTATATAGAACTATATAAATATGTAGATATATCAATATATAGATAAATAATCATATACTACTATATATGCTAATAAAAATATACAATATATATATAATATATCCATAGGTATATATAATAAATACATATTTATCTATTTACACACATTATATATTTACACGTATATGTGTATATATATATATATTATTATATATTACTTAAAAGACACCCCCTTGATGCAAGTGATCCCTCACCACATACTGCTTTCAAATTACATGGCATAACATGAAACAATAAAAATATATAAATATTTTTTATTTCCAGCCAAAATAACAGGTTAAAGTTCCCTTTTAACCTTGTTAGATTTATTTATTTATTTATTTATTTATTTACTTATTATTTATCCTGTTCCCATAGATTTATGGAAGAGCTGACCAGCTTTCTGGGGAGGATCTAAGACAAACCTGTGAGCTGCACCTTGCAGGTGAGTGATTCAGCCATGGGATTCTGCAATTTTAACTCTCCCCTGCTTTGATGAGCTGTCATCAATGAAAACCTGATAGAAACTATGTGATCAGTCAGTCTGTGGGTTTGTGTGCACAGGATTTGATAAACACCAGTTTACACCAGCCCATTCCCACCCGTTGGGGTAATGGATCAGTGCACACTGCAGTCCACCAAAAATCAGGGCATGCTTCCAGCAAAACGTGAGCCCACATAGTGTGGAATAAACTGGAAATATGTGAGAGCTGATTAGAGTCAGGGAATCCTGGAATGGTTTGGGTTGGAAGGGACCTTAAAGCTCGTCGTTAGAGGAATTGTGTCTGGGCAGCGCAGGGGACGCAAACCTGGTCATAACAGAAATGGTAAACCTTGGTTTGCAGCCCAGAAAAGGGCAAATTTTTAAGTGAAGGGTCTGAGAATTCTGTCAGCTTCGTCCACGTGAGGCTTTGCACATGAGATTTTGAAATCTGTTTCGCTGGTCAGAATGTCAGATGTTATTGCTGGTCAGTCAGGGTACCCAGACATCTTACAAATAGCTCTATGCTTGAAAACTGCATAAAACTGTGGGAATTTTGGAAAAATCTGGGTTGGTTGTTTTGTTTTGGGGTTTTTTTTTTTACCTTTACTGAAACAGTACCTTGGCCATCCTGAAGTAATCTGCTGGAAAGACAACACGGGCAAATATTTCGAGCCCCAGGGTATCCCAACATTACTGCTGTGGGGTCCAGAGCAGACTGAACCATGGCATTAATGCTGAATTTGTCCTCAGTTTTAGCTGCAGCAGTGTCAGGGCTGGATTTTTAGATCAGTCTGGCAAGTGGCAATTTTTAGTGAGTGGATGCTGTCAGTTAATAGCACGTTGTAGTCTGGGAACCTTCAGAGGTTCAGGTCGATGAAATGTCCAGTAAACAAGCAATAATTACAGCTGTCAACAGAGGAGTCCCAATAATAACAAACAGCTCTGATTTATCTCCTGCTTAACCATAAAGCTGATTTCATATTGGGCAAAAATGTTATGAAGAGGTGCAAGATACACACTGCAGCTGAACAGTAGGGGACATGAAACAGCACAAAGTGCCTGAAAACTGCTTTTAAAAATAAATAAATGAACAAACCCCAGTGACCTGTGGTGGCCTGTCTGGTTTTCCTGCATTTGTATGTGCACACATTTGGGAATGAAAGGGAACAATGACACGTGAATGAAGTTTGCCGAGGTTAATGAAGCAAAACACTAATTTCTGCCATGAAAGGGTTTCCTCTCTGTGATGTCTCCTCACCTCCCAGGAAGCAGATGCCGCGTTCCCCCCTGTCCCTGGCTGTGTTCTGGCTGTGTTTGCTGCTGCCCCTCCCCAGAGGGAGCCCTGCTGTGGGATGCACCTGTTACCAGGTTCAGTTCTGGTGCAAATCATTTAAACTTCTGGAATTTCGGTGACTCTGAATTATGCTGGATGCGAGTGGAAAATATGAAATCTGAAGATACAATAAGTCTGGATCATGATTATACTTGCAATACAATGATGTATATTTTTATGTTATAAAAATATAAATAATGCTGTTGCTGATATAAGGGCCTTGAATGAGTCTCCCCACTAGTAAGTGTTGAGCTCTATTTTAATTGCTTGTTGAGGGCACCACTAAATTCTGTTTAGTAAGAGACTACCCTGAACAGCTGCATGTGAATTTCTGTAGTGAATTTACTACTGTTTGGTTGTTTTCTTAGAAGTAGTTGTTTCAGATGAATAAATCTGTAACATCTCAGGTTTTTCAAACACAAAGTGATTCATGCCAACCTGTTTTCATAGGCTGCTGCAGAAATTAATTAATATGATAATGTGACTCTGTGAAATTACTACAGTTCACGTACTAAATGTTCTTATTTATTACCCATAACATTTAATTGTAGTTTAAATAAATTCCATATAAACACATTTACTGTGGAGTTCAGAAACAATCCACAATTACACTGTGCAGTTACAGGAACAAATTCCCTACCACTGATTCCTAGGAGAGGAGGATTTCTGGGGTTGATACTGAGCTGCTGATAAACAGCTTTGCCTTCATCAGTTCCTGTTTGTCATGAACTTTTCATAGAATCCAAAATGGTTTGGGTGGGAAGGGACCTTAAAGCTCATCCAGTCCCAGTCCCTGCCATGGGCAGGGACACCTTCCACTGTCCCAGGTTGCTCCAAGCCCCTTCCAACCTGGCCTTGGACACTCCCAGGGATGGGACATCCCTTTCTGTTTTGTCTCTCTCAGTAACTTGCAGTGGCTCTGTGTCTGTGGCATCCCGTGTCTGGGAATCACAGAAAACACAGGACCTTGCTAAAACACGAGGATTTTGGTGTGTTTAAGGCAGAATTTCCAGTTCTCGTTGAAAATCAAAACCCAAGACAAACAAAACCCCCCTCAGCATAACTCAGCCCATCACTGGGAGCCTGGGGGCTTTCCCCTTTGCCCTGTTCCTGCTCCCTCTGGGCACCGGTGGCTCTTTTCCTGGAGGCCCCGGTGTCGCTGCGGGTGTTCACGCCTTTGTCTCTCTGCAGAAATGTGTGATGGGGAGATAGTGCTTGTGTGGACGTCAGCATTTCCAACCCTTGCATGTGTTGCATTGCTAAGCAACTTTTAGCAACACTTCTCCCGCGTCCTTATGCCATCTGGAAAAGAGGATTAGACAAGGAAATGTGCCAGGGAGAGACAAAGGCACATGTAAGAAAGAGGTGGCTTAATTACTTGGGAGGATGAGTGACATTAATAGCAGGCAATCAGCAGAGTGATTGAAAGCAGGCACAGTGCTTCCCAGGTAGTGAGAAGGAACCTCTGGGAAAGGTGGCATCTTTTATACCCCCTGGCCTTTCCCCTCCCTGCAGGGAGCTGGACCCCAGTGCTGATGCCCAGTGAAGGCCCCTGTGATTTCATGGGTAGTTTAGGCAGAGCTCCAGTGACAGTGAGTCTCTTCTAGACCCTCTTCCAGTTGTTTTGTACACCCTGGATAACTGGCTGCCTGCTGCTTGAAGGTCCCTTCCACTGAGGCAGAGGAGGTTGTGGAATGCCAGTGGAGTGTGGAGCCTGTGCACATTAGTTCCCAAGAGCCCTGCTCCCCTGGGATAACTGCTGGGGATGGTTTGAGGGGATGGAAGGGATAGACCGGAGCACGTGGTGTCAGAAGGGTATTCTGTCTTTGGTGTCATCTTCCAGCACACCTGTAACTGCTAAAGGTGCAAACAGAACTTTGACTAAATCCATCTGGAGCTTCAGCTGGGTTCACACACATTAGAGAATTATAGGAGCACTTTTTTGGTACCTCTGCTGTTACCACACAAAAAGCCAAATATCCAACTTAGTAGAAGAATGACCACTCCAGATTTGAAATATTCCCCTTCTCTGGTTCCTTGTGCACTCTACCATTGGAAGAATGTTGCCTGACAGCTGAGCAGGATTTAGTACCACATAAAACCAGCGAGGTTTGTTACTGAGTTGTTTTACTTCCCGTACCTGGACTTTTGACTGCACTTTGCCCACTGTCTGATTATTTCTGTGCCAGTTGTGACTCTGAACTCTCCCAGTGATATGGAACAACCCACACTAAGGTTCAGTGCCAGCTCTGTGCTGCAGAGTGGTTTTTACACATACTTTGGATCAGAGCTGTGGACCACAATGTGCAATCCTACACTTGCTCCTCCCAGCTGGAATGAAACCTGTGCTCCTGCCGTGCCCTCTCCTGCCTGACCCTCTCTCACTCCATGGCAGTGGAATGGGGGCTGTCAACTAATCACCTGAAGGTCGTGTTGGGTGGCAAAGGGGGCCCTGGAGACACTGCACCTTCCTCATGACATCACACTGGGTTGCAGTTACGTGGGCAAGGTTAATGTTGCTGGAGACTTTAATTGGCTCATTCCTAAGATTCCCTGGTATTTGGCTCTGCTGCCTTAGGAGTCTTTAAACTTTTCTGCAAAGGGAATACCTTGGGTGAAATGCAGACTGGATTTAAATAACCAAGGCTTTTTTGAATTGAATTTGGTACACTATTTCACTTTTCACAACCTTTAAAAGCAAAATAATGTGTGATTCTGTATGTGACAAAGCAGTTATTCATTCTTGCCATGTAATTTAATGCGATGTTCTATATGAACTGAAGGGCTTCACATAATAGTATCCCACAGTAACAAACCTTGGGCAAGAAATGTTTGATTCTCCTCCCTTTCCCCTTTCGAGGAGTGCCACATAATCCTTGGTTGTTGTGTGGTCTCCTATTCAACTTTTCACAAAAATGTTGGAAGGGTATTTATAAAAAGCCTTGAGGACCACCCACCACGCTATTGAAATTTGGCTGAAATAATCCCTTCTTTATAATTTAGCTGTGGTGTTGTCGAAATTTCAGTTCCGTGTGGGTTTCTGTTTAAAGGGGCAGTGGGGAAATGACGTCCTGGATGGACAGGGAGCCGTGGCCAATTGTTGTGGTGACACCTGTGATGGGCTGGGGCTCAAAGGCTGGCTCAGACCTTCATTGTGCCCTCCAGTTATTAACAGGACTTGGACATAATGCCTTGGTTGTCCCTCTTGTGATGAATATGATCTGACTGTAGTGTTCAGCATCCTCTGAGTTCTCAGCTCTCCCAGAACAGCTCCCTCTCTGGAGCAGGAGGGACAGAGACCTTTCCTGGAGTGAGGGAGCTGCTCGTTCAAAGCAAATGCAGAGCTGCAGTGAGGTGTCCAGTCTTCTTGTAATGGATTTTTATTCCTGTGATGAGAGAGTGGGGTTTTTTGGGTTTAATAATGTGGATTTTTATTTTTAAACTGAAAGCATTTTGGAATTAAGAAGTTGGAAGGACAGGAAAAGAAGAGGCTGTGAGTGTGTGTGCACGGCCTGTGTGTGTATGAGAGTCATCCCAGCCAGTGTAAATTCTGTCACTGCAAACAGTAAAGAATTGCTCAGCAGGGTCTAGTTTGGTAAGCACAGAGCAGGAATGAATCCCATCCCAC